CGTATTTGCGTATAAATGCCTTAAAAATAAAATAAAAATAAAATTTAAACTTTAATCTTCTTTTTTTTCTTCAAGTTTTGACCATCACTACATCGAATGTTAAGTAACTAATTCAACACAAAATTTGAATCATTTAAGTGGTGGCATTTTTTTACTGGAAACGAAATGCACATGGAACACCGAAATTCTATTTATATTATATAATTATATAAAATAATATACACTTTAGTATGAATCTCGGTGGGGGAGGGGTCTGAAATTAACCAAAGGTTACAATATATTGCTCACATAATCACAAGGGAGTCTTACGGGTAACTTCGGGTGGGAGATGACAATAGTGTAATACAATCAAAAGTGTCCTGACTGACTCACTAGTCAACGTAGATCAGTGGTTCCCAACCTCTGGGGGGGGGGAGTGTATACACATTGGGAGTCTCCAGCAGCCACCAAGAAGTACCATTTGTATTTATTTAACTATTTTTATTTTACAATACATGGAATAAGTTAAAAATTAATAACGACCAGTTATCGGGTATCGATAATGATTACGAGTTTTAAGCCACTAAACACACTTTGGTACTTAATCTTTTTATTCCACCATGACGTCTGTAAACTATTATTTTCCAGTTTATAGGAAAGCGCATGAGATTTTTGAAAATCTTCAAAGGTGCCCTAAAATAAAAGAGGTTAGGATCACTGACGTAGAGCCTGATCAATGATAGCAATTTTTACAGTATCTTCGTACCATAATGTAAGTGTGAAATAAGAAAGCATTTTCAAAAATTCAAATTTTAATTTAGTTCTTGGACAAGTATTTTGAGATTAAAGATTACCGATGGAAATGTTCAAGTCTTAAACAACATTACACCGAAAATAAAACAACGAATTGAACAGAGTTTGAATCATAATATGGTTTCGGCATTTTTAGCAGACAACGAATTGAACACAGTTTACTCTTTCTGATTCTATAGAGTTGGCATTCTTAACAGCTGGAAACAAAGAGCAATAATAAGATAATATATCAGCTAATAATTTATAATTTTATAAAATTTCATGTATGTAAGGTTTTTTTTGTAGTTTCATCAAACAATCAAAATCAATTTTATCAAAATTAGTTTTGCATAAACATTTATGTTTTCCCTTATTTTTTTTTTGTTTTCCTCCTAGCTTTTAAAAACTACTAAGTTTTTTCAATTTTGAACTTTACAACGTACCAAATAAATTCACTTTACCACTAGAAAATATACTGAAATTGAAAATCAAAGCATTATAATATCTATTTATCGTTTATAGACCCAAAAAAATAAACACACGTTATTGTAAAATCAATACATTCATCACTCCACTCAGAATCTAATAATATTATGTATGCAGCATGTTATATATTATGTAATATATTATTATATTTAACACTTAAGAATATAATATACCTATTGTAGTACTATTGATAAGACACGTAAATACCTATTTGATTCTCTGTATTTCGGTGAAAATGTTTCATGGGGGCGTGAAGCTTATTTCTTGACTTGTAAATACAATTATAAAAAAGTTGTTATTCATTTCTCCTTACTGTATTATCAACGTTGGTAGCTACACAAATATTTCAAATAATTTATACTTATAATTGAATTTCTGACAAATTTTACAACCTGTCAAAACATATATTAATGATGGATAGTAATATTAAGTTGCCGACGAGAATAATATTTATTAAAATCACTCAAACAATCGCTCACACGCGATGCCAAAGGGAAATCTCAAATGCACTTTGTAGCACGCTCATAGTTTAAATTATGTGGACTTTATACATAACAAAATAACAAGTGCACAACCGACATACCAGATAAAGTTGATTAGCAAGTGTTAACTGTTTCAAAAAGCTAATTTAAGTTTGCTTCGTGCAACATTTTTATTTAAAAATTACAACATTTGTGCAGCCTACTTATTTTAGTTATTAAAACTTTCGGAGTAGAAATAAATATGTGTAAGTAATACATAAATATTTGATAAAATTAAAATTCTTCACAAAAATAAAAACACCAAAAATCAATTTGGAATATTTAGAATGATATTTTAACACCGCAAGTAAAATAAAACTATTATGTGTGAACAATTTTTTGTTACAAAATTTAGTTATTTTTTAATTATTAAAAAAACGGGTTTTTAAAAGCTGTAACCCAAAAAAATGTATTGTACTTTAACTATTCACAGTAATCTATTTTATAATAGTTTCAAAAACTGTATTATCAACAGACAACAATAATAGTGGTTTTCTGTGGATATAATAATAATTGTTATATTATAATATAAGTACATATTCTCCATTAGCACTCAGTATTAATGTTAATTTCTTGCAAGTCGTAACTTTTACATACAATTACTTAATTAACATTATCCTTCGTCATATTTATTCACAGCAAGTGTGTCTCCATAATGATTGAATGCTAATAATGATTAACTTCGGTGAAATCTGTAAACAACTTAGATGTGGAAAAAGTAAAAAACAGATTATCGTACATCGCAAACGTATAGCTCATGATGGGAACACGAAATAAACTCTGATACGATTGACACATTATATGATAATAGAATTACAAAGGATGTGAATATAATTGGATAATATTATACACCTCGAAGACCGTTTTTTAGCCAAATAGGTATCTCATATTTATAACAATAATAATAATAATAATATGTTATTCGTTCTAAATACGTATTTTCTAAAGGTGAGACAAAAACACACGGTTACAATTCGATTACAAGATATACGGTTCATCCATAGTGATTTACCACAGTTTCTTGACACGTCCAATTCGCGTTTTCCAGACACTCTGACACACACACACACACAAAATACAACGTAGTACTGCCAAATCGGGTTTGGTTAATTCGATTTAAGTTGGAAACGAATCGCCAATTTCTACTCGGATTCTTATTATTCTACAGTAGATATTATGATATTATTTTACTTCATGGTGTTGTGTGACCATGATATTATAGTCGTTGGTCAATAATAATACTATAATTTAATGTATTCGCTATTTGTTCCCTTCTGTTTCAGCAAAAAGGTGTTTTCCTTGTAGATGCATTTTTGTAACAATAGTATATCATATTATCTTTTAGATACCGAGTGTATAATGTTCTGCGGGTAAATTGGCATACGTGCAGATTGGGCTAGTTTTTAGACGTATGCTAGGACATTAATTACCTCCAAGACATTACCCACTTTTTCCTAATAAAAACGGTTTCAACGTAATTTAGTATTGAAATGAATCTAATTTTTTATTTCTTTTAAATGATTTGAATAACAACACATTCATACCACCAAAATCTTCTTATTTTTATTGTAGGGACAATAAAATTAATGGCAAACAGTGACCACCATAAACAATATTAGACTATAGATTATTATGTTGTTATTCTTTATTTATCTTATTCACCTAAAAATCTAGAGTAATATTACTTGATTGAAACGTACAAAATTGAAAAAAATATCTAAAAATATAAACGTAACTCGGTGATTTTTTTATATAAACCGTAAAAATATTTTGTTGAAAAATAATGGCTCACCGACCGTGTTTTCCAAGAGCACTCGATCTTATACGTGCTTTGGTGCCAAAAAATGAGATTGTTAGAAGACATTTTACGTGATAAACGAGTATGGGGAAATATTTTGCTCAAGGAAATTCTTGTTGCACTCTTCGCCCTACCTTTTAGTGCGTGTATCGTGTTGTCAAGCGTTAACACTTTAAATGGTTTAAATCGTCGTTTTCCAAAGTCCCTCGAGTCGTCACGTTTTATATTAATATTAATATCAAACATGTATAATATATGTTTTTAAAAAAATAAAGTATAAATCAAATAATATTAAAGCACACAATTTATTTATTTAGTGACACGTACGTGTTCGAGTGAAAAACCCCGTTTATAGAATCCACTTCGAGTACAAACTATATTATTAGGTGTAAAACCATTATTTGGTTGTACGACATGATCAAGTGTGTAACGTTGTACTTACGTTTGGAGAAAAAATATTCTCAATATTCGTTTACTGCAACAATAACATAACTAATAAGACTTAAAATCAAACACTGTAATACAAATTTTATGACATCTCCGTAATCATAATATCATAAGCACACATACACATAAATACTTCAACATTGAATAAAGATCAAACCGCGCTTCTATTATTTGTGTTATTCAAATTATAATAACTGTATGAAATTGTTGACGAAATAATATAATATTATCGTTCATAATATAATATTACTAATTACCTATACCTTAATGATTTAAAATCAAATAGACGATACACGATGTCAGTGGCAGTGTTCGTTCAGCCAGTATTTACATTTACACGGTATTACAGATTTACAGACATAACTAACAAATTTAGTTATTTAAAAATTTTTGTTTCAATTAATAATCAAAAAAAAATAGTAAATTTTCAAAGTTATTACACACAAATAATGTACTGTGCTTTATTTTTACTTAAATATTGATTTTAACAAAACTTATAACAAACAAGTTAAGTACATTCAATTTGCCAGTTTCTCTTGTTACACTAGTATTATTGGGTATGTGATACGTTCACTGAGAACATAATACAGCTACTTAATGCATACGACTGTTGCATAGGAATGGGATTTGGGTGATTGTGACAGGGTACGACCCGTGTTGGTGTGTGCCATATTCTCTCCGTGAACAGAGTATTGTTCACAATTATTAAGAGCTATATTCATGGTCAAAGTTTAAGAATAAATATTGCTTGAGTTATACTTATGATTCAAATTAAATTCATAAACGAGACTGTATTACTTGTTTTCAAGGTCGGTAGAGACTTACCTTAAGCATTGAGTTTGGTTATTATCAGATTTTTTTAATTTTTGACTACAAATACGGCCATGAATCTCTGCTCACGAAAATAACTTTTGGACATTGTTTATGTTATAGAGGTGATAAGGAACTTCGAACCCATCGTAAGAGACACAGTGACCATGCCCGGTAACGTGGCCGTCTTCAACTGTCACATACCTGGGGTCAGCTACAATGAGAACCACGTGTTACCCGAATCAGTAGCGATAACTTCATGGGTACAAGACGGCGTCTTCAACATATTCCCTTCGTGGGAGATAGGTGAGTTTAATACAGTCTGCTGTTTTTTTTTTTTCATAATAATGAATGATCATGTTTTACCGTGTTTCTCCTATACCTGCTACCTGTCTAAAGTTAAAAAGTTAAATGAAAGTCAGTACATACGTATATTTTTGAATACCAACCAAATTTATATCTGCATACCTACATCGTTATTGTAACAATTACAAACAATAATAATTATTAAAAAGAAACACTAGGAAAACAACAATTTTCAATTTTTCATTCTGAGTTCAGGTAAACAAAAAAGTATTCATACATTTTAATAATTTGTAGATCTCTATATTGATCAATGATTTTTCATAAACCTAATACAAAAACATAAAAAAAAAACTATTATCTGACAATCATGGATAAATTTATTATTCATCTATATAATATTTAATTTATTATATACTGCAGGTATTTAATCTAGAATTTGAAAGGTACAACACGTCATGATTTGAATATAATGGTAGTGTACACTTATTGTTAAATTATCTAGATAAAATCTGTTTAAATTTAATAATATAATAATATAGAAATAATTGGTGTTATTGTTCTAAGGTTTAATAGAAACATAATATTACTATAGTAATACACATGCATATTATGTCATGATTGTATCTTGTACGCCATTAGAACGATAATAAACTAGTAATGAAAATATCATCAATTATACAATCAAGTACCAGCTTCTATAGTACTAACACGTAGAATAGGTAGTAATAAAATTGTAATATTTTTTCACTCTGATAATTGAGCTATAATAAAAATCTAAAAACGAAGGTCCTATATAATATTCTACTAGTTTGATAGTGTATAATACTCTATATAATATTATGAAAAAGAGTGTTTTTACCTCAAATGTTAACACTAAATACTCATGTATCAGGTACAACTGTTTTACACGTGGGGATTTTGGATTTGAGATTCCATTGTTCATTAGAACTGTTTATGAATTTCGGAAGTCTGTTGTCACATATACTTCACACCAAATCGTACACAAAAAACAGACACAATTCCGAGTCCACACATGGTTTGGGTTATTGGTTTGTTTCTGTGCTTAAATACAATTTATATTGCAATGTCTGTGTTAGGGTAACATTTTCAGGATGAAAAGTAGCCTGGATCCCTTCTAACAAAGTTTTCTACCTGCCTGTGAAAATCCCATTAAATTCGGATCAGCTATTCTGAAGATTATCCCTGACAAACAGACAAACGCTTCTATTTTATATATTTGTATGAGTACTTTGAGTTGGGTAAAAATATTGTGTTATCTTTTGAAAACACGGGTTAAAGGAAACCCACTGTTTCATTATCAGGTACAAGTTCCAAAAAATAAATGAAAACTGTTTACCTATCATATTTTAATTGAAAAGGGGTGTTGAAAATGGTATAGGTAGTAAGTTCTTATTTTTGTTCATACCAATAGTTATGTATATCGCCGATTATAATGTAGGTAATGTACTATATTTGTGAAAGATTCCATTTTATATAAGGATAAAATAATATATTACCAAACAGACAAAATACCAAACATAATAGTATGATATAATATAGTATAATACATTTTTATGCTTAAGTCGTGACAATGCGGAAATCCATCGTCAGACCTGACGACTCATAAAACGTGGCCGCGATAACACTTCATACAACGAGCGCGAGTTGACGAATGAAAAATGGGAAAACTATTACATCGATACGCTGGAGGCATATCTCGTACGATTTTGTAAGGTCACGTATTCCCAAACCCACGTACTTAAAGCCACACGTTGTACATACACGTTTTACCCCACAAAAATCACAGAAATGAATGATACTAGTAGCCCGGTGTCTTCACATAAATGTGTGTGTAATATTCATTGATGATTCCAAACGATTTACGTAGCAGATATCTCAATGAGTTTGATGAAAACAAGAACGAAAAATAAAATTAGGATTATTCGTTGGCATTTATGCCGAATTCTTCAAAATAATAATAAATTAGAGTAGACATGGACACTCGTTGTATATTAGTTTAGTTGTATACCAATTGTGGAGTTGTTCATCCTACAAATGCCTAAAATTGTTCGGTTTTTACCAACAGCTACAGATTTCCCATATGGATTGATATGGATAAGGCTTATATACTTTAGATGCTTCGATACGATTATTAACTTGCACTATAGGTAGTGAATTTATGAAGAAAAAACAGTTTAAATTAGTAAACAACATGTTTACTCTATTTAAAATGTAATATTGAAGCTAATCAAATTATTTTCGACAGTTTCCAAAGAATAAACACATGGCGAGAAATACGCTGAAGGTCTTAGAATAATGTCTATACTTTTTGTTGAAGTTTTAAATGTTTTCCAGTCCGATTACGTATTATGCTCAATTTAACGGTAATCGTATATATATATATTGAACTTTGATCCGACGAAAATTGGAAAATCCTTATATAAGCTGTATTTTCATTTTCGTGGAAATCGCGTTAGATAAAGGTTACCTACATGGGAAACAAATCATCCGATCCGTCTAAATCTATAATGCAATTTTATAAATGAATATTCTTTTGACACAGTTTTCTACCCAATTCAATACAGTAAGTAAATAATAAATAATCATTTAGAATTTAGATAAAACATAAAATATTTAACAGAAGATCAATATTTGAATGTGTCACAAATAACCAACGTCAAGAAAAAAGTGTTTGTAGTTTTTTTAAATTATTATGATAAATTATATTTTATTTGAAATTAATTTAAAATTCCAGTTGAAATACCATGATGTCATAACTACATTTACTCATTGTCAATTTACTGATCATAAAGTTATTTTTTAACGATTTATATACATATCATTAATTTGTATTTTAAATCTCGGGAATGAAATTGAGATGGTTAGGTATTAAAATAAATAACATTAATTTGATATTCAATTATATTATACGAACCCATCTTTTTTTCATTACATCAAAAAACATTAGCTTGATATAAATTACATAAAAACCTAATACATTGTTTTCAACATCTTCAGAGTTGATAGAAATTCACAAGATGTTTACGTTTCTAGAAATACACTAAATATTATTATGTGTCTGTATTTTGTAATATCTTTTTCTGTTTTTCCATTAGATGTTAGATTTTAAACTCGGTGAATCTCGTTAATGGATTATTTTATTTAATAAAGAATTAAAAAGGAACCTTTTATATTCCTCCTCGTCTTATATTTTGTATAAAAATGGTATTATTTATTAAATTACAAGTGAAACCTGTATCATAAAATCTGAAGAAATGTATTTATTTATTTTATAACTCAATACAATAGTATAGGTTAGTTGAAAAAAAAAGTATTTGTAATCATACTTAACTTTATAAATTTATAAATTAATATATTTAAATTTGTGTTATTTTGACATTTGACATTTTGAATAAAACACAGTTCGTTTATGAAATGGAGCATAGTTTTCATTTAAACATAATATGTTTATTTAAATATTTTAAAATAAATATATTTAATAATTAGATTATAAAAATGTATCAAATAAAAATATAAAAAGAAAAAACAAGGAATAAGTATATATTAATATATTATTATGATCTACATGGAATACAAGATTATAAATTGTGTAAACAATGTATATAAAATAATGTGCTTTTGTCCCTAAATTATTTTCTGATTTGACAGTAAGTTATAATTGTTCTACCTTATAAAATTTGTAAAAATATAATCAAATAAATAATATTTAATATTGTTATCATTATTAGTTAATTAAAAACTTTGAATATCAATATTTGTAGTGAAAACTTATTCATCAGGTGTCTCAGAGATTTATATAAAGTAAAGTTGGGAGAACTAATTCTTGGAATTTTATCCAAAGATAATTCAGTTATACTTTAAACCTGTATAATATTTGTTACAATAATATATTAATATGTTAGTTTTATCTCGAGGAGCGTATCAGCTCGCATAACATTTTCAATGGAGTAAAACCAAGTTGTAGAAAGATAAGACACACTATGAACTAAGGAGATAATGAATGAATGATGAAGTGTGTGCACCAAAATATGGTAATTAAAACTATGGAAAAATACTTTGCATATTGCCAAACGTACTCAAAATTACTTACGTATCATCGGCCCACCACATATTGAATATTATTTTTATATGTTACCTTTAGTACACCTTTTGTATGAACATTTCCCACATTTGTATGACTAGGATAAGTACTTATAAGTAATCAATTTATTAAACAGAGTGGGCATGTTAAGATGTCTCACCAGACACTGCTAGTCTGTCACTCAAATTCGTTCAAATATTGTACCTCCATACGAATGTAGGAAAGAAATTTCAAATTTCGTTAAGGGGTGGTTTGCCGTGACTTCACATTGGCCCACCCGGGGGTAGTTTTGAAAATTAAGGGGTGAGACCTGTCATTATAATTTATACAAATGGCGTAAAAACGAAATTCCAAAATTCGTTTCGGGTGGTCGAGTGGTTCGGATGGTCAGACCACCCTCTTTAATTCATTTGAAACTTCAGTATCACAGTCATACAAATTTGGGAAAATGTTTTTACAAATACACACAAATGGCGTTCTAAATGTAACATGTAAAAAATGTCCATATTCCATAGTTGTGGTCTTACCACCATGGTGAGACGTACCTACTTTTGAAAATGCAATTTCGAAATTGAATTCTGTTTACCGAAATATAATGTATAAATTAGTAATAGTTCAATCGCTGAAATAATAAAGAACTGCTACTACTCTATTGTAGGTATCTATAACAATATTCAGAAAAATGAAATATTATGACTTTGTTTCTGGTTAATAATTATTACTAAATCGTTTCTTTTCAATTTAATTTTTTAAAAAGTTATAAAATTTTCAATTACATATAAATCGGCAAAAAAAATATTTACATAGATATAGATTTATTAATAAAACATATTGTTGTATTCAAAAAATAAACACATTAATCTATGATTCCATAATATGTTATCATATAGATAATAAACTTATCACACAATATTAAAGTTGTGCGACTTATAGAAATTAAGTATTGCTCCAATATTTGCTTTAAAAAAAGTTTAAGTTATATAAATGAAATATTATTTTCATTTACATTTAAATTGTAAATTAGTTCGAAAAAGTTCACTTTTTAATTTATTAAACTGTTTGCTTCGTTTCTTTCTTAGTTTCAATTTTTTGTTTTTAAGCATAATTAACGAAAGACCAACGTTATTTTTTCCGTAGAACTCGATTAATGCTCAGTATTTATTTCCATTTTTAATGCACATTAATCTATGTTGATTAATCCAATTATTATAATTCATTGTAATTGAAACAAGAATATACGCGGTTGTGGATAATATCCGAACGTAAATATACATAATCCTTAAATACTAAAAGCTTAATATTATAATGTTTCCCATTAATATTTATTCATTGAATCAGGTATACAATTTTTCAGTTAATCAGACTAAACAGGTGGGAAATTAAAAAATATATATATATATATAATATATTATATATCAAAACTAAACAGATTATAACATTTAATAATAATAACAATATGACAGGTATAAGAATTTGACATTGTCGGTACCTAAACAATATTATATTGTGCAAGGGACCTACGTTGTACATATGCAGTGTAGTTGTGATCGACAATGTCATTATAGTGTTTATAACGACTGTGTTCTTTATCCAATTTCAGATTCGAAAATTATCATGATACCGAAAACCGGCCAATTGCGTATAGCGAACGTGGACGAGAACGACTTGAGGCACAGCTACACGTGCCGCATAGTAAACAAACTGACGGGATTCACTCAGGAGAGCAGCACGTTTGGCAGAATTTATTTCGGTAAGCGAATTCGTTCTTTGTCCGTTTTCTCCTTTTACGCGTGCCGTGTCTTAACAAAGTTGGTTTTCTCGAACACGTTGTTTTATGTCGAAAAAAAAAACACACACATATATATATATAAAATAAAGTAATGGCTCGTAAAACGCGAAAAACCTTTAACGGTGCGAGCGCCGTGTTTTTAAGGAAAAAAATTTCCACCGAACCTTATCCGCTCGTTAATTTGCGGCCAACAACAAAAAGCAATATTTCACAAACATCCACGCAGCCGTGCACGTCGCCGCCGCCGCCGCCGCCGCCGCCACCGCGAAAAACGTTTCCCGGACGCGTATCACGGCGGTTATTTTCCTCCTTTTTTTTTTTTTATTTTATTTCATTCCGGTTCCAGGAGTTTTTTTTTTTTTTGTACTATTATTATTTCGCCAATGTGACTTTCACGGCGGTTGACTGGAAGTAAATTATTTCGCGTATTAGCCACTCGGAGCGAAATATTCCCCTCGGGAGTTTCACCTATAATATACGTAGGTACAACACTCGCGTGTAACCTCCAACACACAATTCAATTTGTCTCGTTCAACGGTATACATAATGTATATATGTTTGTGCGGGACTCGTTCCGGTTTCCCTGGCAGCTCGACGATTATTGTCATGTGAGGATTTTCACCTTTCCGACTTGACAAATTAAACGCTTTCGAGATCATGTGACGACTGATTCGATAGGCAGTGAAATCAGCGAGACACTAAAAGAAATAAAAATTATGAACGAATTAACGAATGTCCAAAAACTCAGTTACGTATACGCATTTGTGACAGAGGTGAACCGAGAAACAACCATAAGTCATAACAGTGATCCTGTCTCTAATAGTTAATAATCTTGACTATGCTATTATAATAATAAGTATATAATTACGGTCGAATAGTTAGTCATGTTAATATAATTATTGTTCACACAACTATGGAACCTACTACAACTGCAGTCAAGCGCAAGTACCACGGGAAGTAATTATTTTTAATAATACCCTTGAAGATTATACCTAGAGGAACGTAGGCTAAATTATAATTAGACTAAGCTCTTATTTTTTTAACACATATTAATGTACTGCAAAAGTTCTATTTTATAACAGATAATCATGTAGGTACTCAAATGGATAACAACGATAAAGAATCTCTACAAAAAATTCAAAATGTTGATTAAGTACATAATATCACCTAATACAATATAATATCATATTTATTACCTGCATTGGTTATTATTTTTAAAACGAATAACTGACACAGTTTTAAGTTTAATACAATTGTTATTGAAAAAATAATAAATAATAATTTACATTTTTCAGATTTATGTCAGTTATTTTGATTAAAACACATACCATCTCTGTTCGTTCGACCGTTGAGGTATTCGATTCGATATTTTATACATTATTACAACAAAGGTGTGCCAGTTGGCAAGATGGTTTTTGAACAACGCACCATCGTGCATTGTCTATAATATAATATACGAATATTGCGATTTGCTTTCACCGTCGACAGTAATTTGGTCGATTTAACTTTGCCGTTTGCTTTTTATGTGTGTATACATTTTTGCATTCCAGTCGGAATTTAAAATGTTAAAATTGTTTATGCGGAATGAGAGATTTTAATGTTTATATATAAATATATTGGGTGGAATGCGCATTTCATGCAATACAGACATTTTTCTACCTTTGTAAAATATAATAGACGTTTCAATAATCACATCTATAATAATACAAATAATATCTGCCTGCGTAGTAGGGATAGTATTTATTGTTTAATTTTTAATTTTAGTTCCTCAACCACTGTCCAGACGTATTATAGTGTGCTGTCAAAACAGAGTGACAGCAATATCCAAAGCCAAAACGTGTGAAATATTTCATAACAATAATAAACAAAACTACACACCATAAACAAAATGGAGATTTCTCTTTGATTCTCTTTGAGTGGCAAACATTTAAAATGCGCCACCGAGACGAGATGCTTTCCCGACAAAGCTTTGAAATGAAATAAATACTTAGGTATATACCGCGTATACCGAGGTGCTATTTTTTTTATTCGTTTAGCCAACGACAAACGTCTGTAGTTGTATGCTTACCACAACACATCTGTCTGAGTATTTTACGCACTAATATAAACAGTGTGACAATTCAGGTTTTGAGAACCACATGGATTAAAAATGAAAAAAAATAAATAGAGCTATAAACTCGAGACATTATTATTGTTATGTAATATTCATCACGAAGGTTTTTTTTTATACCTAGGTACAACTGCGTATTGCTTCCGGGCCGTGTTTATCAGGGCCTGGAATATGATTTAAGAATGTCACGACCACTTATAATAATTATATTCTCTTTTGCTCGGTTCAAGTATTTGTAATTTTTCATTTCCCAAGTTGTATAGTAGTAGTCACCAAAAGCTCGCAGTGGCTATACAATAATATTAAAATGGTGGTAAAAAAAAAAAACCTTTCAGAGAATCTAATTTAGTTTGTTTACGATACGAGAAAAGAACTTTCAGAGCACATAATATAATGAATGTTGTATTGGTATTACTCAAGAGCTAATTTTAATGTTCCTTGCGACGTTTGGTTCAAGTGGCAGTATATTTGTACAGCTCATTGTCATGAATCAAGTTTTTACTACTGGCAATAAAATTAAAGTTTGACTAACAACAACACATAATGCAAACGTAATTTATATTTTAATCAATTAATTCAGCTGATTCTATATATTTGCGTAGATTAACTTCCTAATATCCGTCTAATAAATCCTTGATAATTATAAACGTTTGAACAACCGGAATTCAATTAATAAATCAAAGCCCCCACTTGAAAATAATATTTCTCTCCGCAGTTTCAGAAACAAACTAAACGATATTATACAACACTATATTATTATTATTACAACACAACTCTTTATAATATTGTGTACCTACATTTGAAATAGAATTTTTTTTTTTTAATTTAAATATACTCAATCTGTTTACAAAATAAAAACATTTAGTAATGAGGATAACATATAAAAAAATATACACAAACACGAATCACGTGAAAAGAAGACCGTTCATTAACAGAACCTCAAAAATCGACTTATTATTGTAATACATTCCTGTGCTGTTTATAATAATATAAAATAATTATAATACTCACTACAATACAATATTATATTAATTTTTCAAAGGATCAACGCATTATACATTATTTGTTTTTAATATTGCATTGTTTTCCCTTTACTTTTTTCCAAGAATAACCAGGCAGGCCATAATAGTTTTACGATTGAGTGGTAACTATAATAAGTCTTACTTCAAACAATGAATATAACAACTAAACATAAGGTTTCAAAAACAATTTGTTTGATCCATAGTTCTTTTTTTTATTTTTATTTTATTTTATTAAAGTGTGTTCAACAAGATGAAAAATATTATTCTTGAAATGTACAAATAATAACACTACAGAAAAATACATAAATAAAAATAAATATAAATATATTTTGAACATGACACTTCGATAACTGACTATTTATAGATAATATTTTTTTTTCATTATATTATATCAAGATTGATGATTTATAAATGTCAATATCAATCGAGAAATATTCGACAGCTGTATCCACTCAAAATCAACGTAGGGATGGTGGTCTACTGGTGGTAGATTTAAAATATTAAAAAACACATTTTTTTACGTCCAAACTTAACATCGAAGATAAAATAAAATATAAGTAATCGAACTAGACCAATAAAAACAATTCCAATATTAATTTAACATACCTATTATTATAATAGAATAACTGTTATTTTTACTGTGTTATAATAATTATTATTTTTTCGTTTTTATATTATTGTTCATTTATTCTATTAACTGATTAACTATAACATTGAAACAAAAAAAAATCAGGGTGTAAAATAACCTCCGATAATAATGACTGTTATGAATCATCAATATTTGTTTTGTTCACGGTAGTAGATAGTATGGGAGTTTTACTCGATTCACTTCAATGCCAATTTTAATGAATTACTACTAAACATACTTCAATATTTTGAATTGGAAGCTGTAAAAATAATTATTCTTTACAATACTTTAAAAGTATTTATTTATATACCTAAATAATATTGTATGTACTCACAATATAATATGATTGCATGTTGTTTAAACAACTACGTGCAAAGTAGTGAATATCTAAGGTTATTTTTGCCACAATATTGTCCTACCTTTATCGATGTACAAATATTGTGCACACATTTTTAATTCTTAATGACTTTCAGGGATTCGTAGTGTAACTTTTCAATTATTATAATACTTTTAGTATTAATCTTCCTTATAAGTTCTTATATTTGTCCATCGCATTCACTCCAAAAAGTACACAATAATAAATTACTCAACATTATTGTTTCACTTAAATTTGAAATGTATTCAATAATCAGACCTATGATTACTTATATTTATAAATAAAAAAAATTATATGATATATATATACAATATATTTACATATAAATAAAACAAAACGTGACTCTTTGGATGCTAGATCAATTTATTTCATAGAACAAAAGAAATATTTTATTTGCTGCAGTATACATATTTTATTATTATTGACTTTTGATACGATACAAAACTTGCCATAAAACGGTGTGAATATATTTACGGTAGTTATATATATATATATATATATATAGTCAATAAGTAATAACATAACATTAAAATAATTTAAAAAAATGTAATTGTTTATATAGAAAACAAAATAATACACTTATACATTTCAAGTCTCCGTGAATATTTAGGAGTTATAAGAAAATAACCTTGATCGTTATTCTACATATATAAGACATTTTTAGATTTTTGATTTCAGTATAAGCTATTTATAAGAAACCTTGTATTACATTTTCAAGTCATATAGCTATACAAATTTAACATAATGTTATACATAATTGACTTCAAAATAATTTGCATATTTCCGTGATTCTATTGAATTTTGTCATTATGTGAATTTCAAACAGTTATTAAAAAAAAAAAAAAAAATGGTGACTATGAGTTTTAATTATAATATATAAATTCCAATAGAACTGCTTATATGGAACATTGTGTTACATTTTTAAATCTTTGATATGAATATTAAACATTGTAAGAAACAAAGTATGAAATAATATTCAAATTGTATCGATTTTATCGAAATTGCAACTGCAAACGCAGTTAACATCATTTGTATAGATTTATGCTCAAATTTTTTTTGTAGTTTCAGTAACAACTTATAACGAACGTTTTTAATTTACAATTAGGTAAAGAAAAAAAACATTGAAATTGAAATTGAAATTTACAAATGCCTAAAAATAACACAAAAGATTCAAAATGTTTTGAAAATCAAACTAAGGGTTTGTAGGTACAATTAGATACAATAAATTACATAAACAAATATGGTGCAAATTCTATATTTCTATTATTTTTTGAATAACAATAAAAAAGGGGAACACTTTTTATTTTTGGAAATTTTTTCCAATTTCCCCTCCCCCCAAAAAAATATTATATTATATTACTTTAAACCTTTTAAAATACTAGTTAAATTCACTTTCCTGCGAATTTAGTTATCTAAGCATTTTTTACTATAAAAATGTCTCTTGAGACACTAAAAAAGAGACACATAGTTTGTGCGACATAATTAATCGATCCACTAAGAACATAAAACAATGAATACAATTCATATTATCTATATTGTTATAAAAATATCTTAAAAAAGAATCACACTACGATATAGAAACTCATTATTTACACAATTTTTTTTTTTGATATTTTTATTTATGGTTTAATAGAAATTTTAAGATTTTCTTTTAAGTCAACTGCTACTAGTGTGTTACGGCCGTATAACATGGAATAGATAAAAATAGATTATGTATTTGATATCCACGTGACATGCATTGTAATAATTCTGATTGTATAAAAGGCTTTGTGTACATATAGTTTGATTTCAGTAGACCTCTAGTATAAAATATATGTACTACCTATCTATGAATATAGTTGGAATAACTCCAATACAATTTGAAGTTATCGCTAAAAAATCAAACCATTAAACTAATAGTCCCATTTAATGGTTTACTACCTATACCTAAATATGAAAAAAAAATGTATAGGTAATATAATTTTTTAAATCAAAAATACCAGATTATAATCTAAACCGTAAAAATATTATTAACAACACAAAAAAAAGCGGGTGAGTGGATGTCGCTCTGCCATAAAGTAGGTTACAAGTGGGTCAATGTATAATGGATTGTATTACTCTTGAGTTCAATGATATAATATCATTGTATAAGAAAAATGATTCTGAGCGGAGATGGTTTGTCAGTCTAGGTTTTTTATATTGTTATTATTTATTATATCCTGTAAGTTGAATGAATATTATAATATTAGTATTTTTTATTCGTTTTTGTGGTAATTAACAAAGCGTTAGCAATTAAAATTCCTTTTTTAGAGTGGCATTAAATAACTATTGAGAAAATCAAAAAATTACCTTGCTAAAGTACGATCTTGATCCAATTTGCTAAGCCATAATGTACTATGTGTTGAAATCGAAGCACGCCTTCTGGTAGAAATTTTGTAATCAGGATAAAAAATAAATAAATAAATACCATTGTAAAACCACTATAGCTTCCTCGCTACGCTCAGAATCTAAAAATTAAAGGTTATTAAGTACTTATAAAAAATAAATCATTTAATTTAGAATTACAAAAACTATCAAACGTACACTCGGTGTAGTCAATAGTTGGACAAAAGTACAAGTATTGTGTTTACACCTATTTCCACTGTAGTTTACACACATCTTCTATAATAGTAGGAAGCTCTCGACCAGTTTCAAATCGTTAACACTGTGTTGACTTCACATGGAATTTTGCTGAAGGTCTCAATCGGTCAGCTGCTGTTTTGATCGTGTCTAGATAATTATACTATATGATATAATTAATAATTTATGTGTTAGCGTTAGGAAAAAAAAAACGATTGTTTGCATAATATAATATTCGAACTTATCGAGTGATCGCCGTCGTTGCCGATTAATGCGTATCATCGCAATATTATGGTAGTAGTGATATCATTATTATTTTTATTCCGGGAAACGGTTGAAAAAACTTACAGTCTTTCAAATGCGATGACAATGATAATAAAAAGATTTCAGAACGACGATTCCCGGCACTGGTAGGTATATAATATAAAACCCTATGCTGCTGTGGAAAAAATATTGTTTTTAATGAACTCCGGGCGGCGAGAGGACAATAATTATTAAATCACACACGATTGCGGCGAGCGACGGTGGTGTGCACGGACGATTTCACGAGCGTCGTAAATGTATGTGTGCATATTATAATACGAATGGGGTGGGGGGGGGGGATGAAAAAAAAAATTAAAAACCGAATAAAAAATCCGTTGAAATGCTCCGTAAATGCGTTTATAATAATAATATGCGTGTGTGAGTGTATAAAAACGGCAGTGCTGGTGAAAAATAACCAACGCGAGTGCGGTGACTTTACGCATAAAAATATATTTTGTTTTTTTTTTTTTTTTTAATTTCTAAATCCCTCTGAGCGACATTGGCGAAATCGTCGTACATATATTATATTATATACATATACACACACACGCACACATATAAATGTATAATATGCGTATATGGTACATGACCGCCACTGCCGCTGTTAACGTATTTTTATGCGTTGATGGTTTCTGGAGGGAGGTGAAGGGCGGCGGCGGCGGCGGCGGCAAAGCCGAGCGCATAATTTAACGGAAATTTTAATTAAAACCCCTGAGTAATTAATTTTGCACTAAACGATGGCGCGAGAGTTGTTCTGTATTATTATTGTTATATATTTATGTTATCTACTATTGTATATTATGATATATATATATATATATTTATATGTATATTTATTATTCACACACTCATTTCGATTCGCAGAGAGTAACCGGACCATGGCACCTTGGTCGAAATCCAACGACTTCACCGTCCACTTGGTGAAACAGGGCGACCATCTGTTGTTGCCGTGCGACGTATACGGATTCCCTCCACCGAAAGTCACGTGAGTGGAATTATGCAACAATACCTATTTAAATTGTAATATTATATAATATTATAAAATCGACATTTAATAATATAATTTTCGAATGAAACGTATATTATACGAGAAACGAATTGTGGTTTCGCTGTCACGTACAATCATAATAATATTATAGTGATCAGTTTCAGTATCTCACTGTGACTCTTCAACGCATTTGGTGTTAAATGATAAATGCCATTCTGATATTGAATTTAAGTTGATTATAAATAAATACTCGGAGTTTGATATGATGAGCTAATTATTATTCAGGTTTTTTATAACCCATTCATGATGTTTAAAATGTGTCAACAATCAACCTTACGTTATATAGCATGCTATTTCTTTAGTACATAATATAATATTATATAATATTAAAATAACATTAATACTACCGATCGCAGTTAAAATGTGATATTATTATTTAAAAAGTGTTTTTTTTTTTCACTAAAATTAAATAAAGGAAAACAAAATGGAATAGATACCAAATTAAGTTTGGGTGCAATATATTACTCGTCATCGTAAGATTATTAGTGAGTGTCGTCCGACAGGAGTCTGGAGAATGCATCGAGGTCACAAGCATTTGTTATTTGTTTTGGTCCTTGGGTTGTAGTTCTGGGCTCATTCTGATGTTTTTAGTCTAAGATTAAAAGTTTTTGAATTGCGTCTTAGTCTAATATTTTAAAAGGAGTATCATTGAGAACTTGCCTGAATTTTTTTTTTCTTTAGCTTACTTGACGGAACAACAAAATACACATTTTTTCAATTCTGACTTCACAGAATACTGTTGATTGACGTTTGAATTGAAAACAATTAAGTCACATATCATATGACAGGATAACGTGACAATTAATTACTTTTTCAGGGTAACAGTCGACAATATAACATATTATTTATTATTTATTATACACTAACTGGTAGCATATATCTAATCTGAAACTCATTTATGATATTTTCGATTCAGTGGTTTTTTTTTTTTAATTTGGTTGTTTTATGATATTTTTATCCTAAACCTCGAGCGAAGTAGAAACAGACAGACGAGTTTTTATGTGGTCGTCAGAAGGGGAGGTTTACGAGTTTTATGGATTGAGTCAATTACGGGATAGAAAAACGTATTTCACATAAATACTCTGAATCACTAGAATTGTCAACCATATAATGGTCGGAAATAAATTGGGCGCGGTGAAACTCGGTCGTATAGAAAGCTTTTCAGCCTGTCCCATTTTAAGAATAATAATAATGATGCAACTTCTTGTTCGATAATCGTTCAATTTAAAAGTTCCGACGGAACGATGGAAACTAACTGTAAATAAACCGTTGGTTATCAACTAAAATCTAATTCAGTCCCAAAACGAAATTTAAATAAGAAAAACTTCATTAGTAAGTATACTTACGAGTCTTATGTTGTGGTTTTATATTTTAAATATAAAAGTTTAATAACTAAGCATCGTGGTAGATGTATTGTTACGGGTTGTTTCTCAAAAGACCGTTTCGTTCAGACATTTTCAAATGACCATAATTCCTATATCTTATAAACACAATTACCATGGACCTTTACCGTTAGAACGCTTGGTGAAATAACTCAAAAACTAATAATTTATATTCTGGTACGACAAATAGTTCAGAACAATAATCAACTGAACAATTTACAGTTCAAAATGGGGGTTCTCGTTTGAAAAACAGATGTTTTTATCTCCGAAAGACATTCCTTAAGTAGTACAAAATAACAAGATTTTGAAAATATGGTCTTAAAATATATTTAAAAATTCAAAAAATTAGATTTTATGTAACTGAATTACTGAAGAAATAAAATAGTGAACCTGCTCGGTGAATTACACTGTATATATATATATATATACATATACACACTATATTATAAATCAAATTTATTTCAGGAATAAAAAAAACAACAAAATTATTCAGGACGTTTATAACCCTTATAATATAGGTAATATAATAAATAACTATACATAGTACATCGCAATTCAAAACCTTAAATTCTTGACTAAGACAGTTACAATAATATACCTAATAATTAATAATAATACATTTATAGTTCTCACATTCAATGGATCAGATTGATGCCAATGTGTTTTGCATAAAGGTTCAATTAAAACATAATATTCATGCTCGTTTACACGTGTATTAACATTGTGTACCCATATAATATGCTACCAAATCGCCGCCCACCGAGCGTTTAACAGAATCACAAACAAATTGTAGAACGTTATTATTGTAGCAATGTAACCATATTATTATTATACGTGTTTGGAACTTTTTTATCGTACGGATAAAAAAATGAAGGTGGGTACATTTTAAATGCTATTTAGATAAAAAACGAAGTTTAGTGTTGCCTACGTTAAAAATACCAGATACCAGCTTTTGTATTATAAATCTGCGTACGACCATTTATCCGCAGCCCGTCGGTAAATTGGTTTTTATAAATGTTCACTATTAAATTTATAATTAACGATCGGCATTCAAACGGCTGCATCGCTGCCTGTTTCGAGTTGCTGCCAATTAAAGATTTATCGTATCAAAGGCTTTTTATACAAACACATATTATTATAATGTTTGACGCGAATACAAACGAAAAGAGATGTCTGGGGAATATAATACAATACACCTACAGTCTACATATATATATACATATACATTATACACCAAAACAAGCAAATAAAACTATTTCGCCTTGGGATTAGCCCATTTCAGATTTTCAAACATCTCTTTATGGCTTTATATAATATAATATATAATATCATATTAAACCATACTATACATATATATTCGGCTAGGGTTATACCGACAAATTATGCCGGCGTTTGTGCAAGCGTATTGTGTTTTACTATGTAGGCGTTATTCGATGTCTATATTATATGATCAAACAACACTGTTCAATGCAACGAATTAAAAACATAATCAAATAAAGATAATAATATAGTAATTTCGGTTAACATCGAAAACCTTTCAAACGGCAGTTCAGCAGTTTCACAATAACGATCGTGTATGTGCGTTCATAGTAATACCGTCAGGTCACTAGAAAACCAATAACGTATTGTATTATAGTATTAATAATAATATTTCAATGATAAACATTAAGTGGACCAATGTCTGTGTTCACTGTCTGTCACATGTGCACCATATAGTTAAAACTATCCGTATCGCATCCATCAGTACGATCGATCTAGCAATAACTATTATACAAATTTAAATGAATTTTTCTAGAAGAGCCAATCACTTTGATCAGGGCATTTTTGTCAGCTAAATTTAAAGAAAAAAATGTTCAAACTTTCAAATACATTTTTTAGAAATTATCGGTTGTGAAGTAAAAAGAAATTTCCTTATCGATCTCATACTTCGCTCATCATTCAAATTCGTTTTGATAATATTTATCACTCCACTACATTTATCTCACTGATGGACGTACAATGTGTAGTATATAGTGTGGTAGACTTCTGAAAGACAGAGATAACCAAATATCAGTACTCTATCTCGTTAAGCGTATGTCGCGTAGGACGTTTGAACATCGCTATTGTAACAAAAACCTTTTTTACAGGCCGTTTGCGTATCGTTATTGTAATAAAAAAAAAAAAGTTGAAAAATGTTTCAAATAAAATGTAACTACCTATCTTATAGTTGGACTGGATTCATACAAAATTATTTACAATAAATTTTGCTTAAATCGAATCCTTTTTCAATCTGTTGTAATAATATAATACGTATGTCGGATTTAGACAACAAATAAGGATGAATGACGTGGCTTCATCACAAAAACAATTGTATTAATTAATGAAGAAAAACATCAGTGCACATGTGATGGTCGATGACGAATAAAAATATTATGCAATTTTATACCTACAATAATTAAACTAAGATTTTATTTAAACAGGACAGTAATACTAAAAGCAAACAATTTTAATTTGATTACACCATGATAGGCGGATTTACAATTACAATAATTTACAACAAAATTTGTATATTTGATTTATTTGGTGCTATCAAATTTATTTAGTGTCAGAAGCTACGCGAAGAATAACTTCACATAGGGTTGACTTTTGAGCATAGGTTTACGCAATTTATAATATTTTATGATTATATTATATGTGTGTTTGTGTAATTCGTATGAATGCCCATTACCTGTAGACACAACGAAATGTTGAACTTGATTTGAATAATTTGAACATTCGGTGATCATATCAGTGCGTCAATTAAAACATAATATTATCCAATCAAATATTAGGTCAGACAGCACCTAAATTGCCTCATATAATATAATGCTACCATTGCTAATCATGAGACATAACATAAAATTATCAAAAATAATTATTATGCTAATATGATAAAATAAACTTTTGCTGTAAAAATAAATAAATAAGAAAAACGTTCAAAGTAAATATTCTCTCTAATTGATCTGGTTAATTTAAATCTTCAATACGGACTCAAATAGTATATTTTTTTTCAAATATATATTTATCTTTCAATAGTTAAAATTAACTCATAAAACAGGATAAAACCATACTCTCTAAATCAAAGTTGAAGTAACGTGACACAAATTAAAAGCACAGTTACCACACGATTTTGCAAGAAACACACACACACACACAGTCGTCAATTTGTCCACCGGTTCATTAATCCTTTGCGAAACGTCAAGTGTAATGTTATAGGGATTGTGGTGTTTCAACGAACTAGACTTAGTCGCCACCATCATCATTGCCATGAAATCTAATTAGTCAAAGAGATTCTCTGCGTCGTTTACCGCGCTCAAGTGCGTACCTATATAATATCGTCTTGCTGGCAGCTGCTATGCACTCAAGGTATCATCGCCTCACCGCACCTCACTTAAATGGCGTCATTCCAGTATATTTACCGGAATTAATATGTAGGAATGTATATAAATATTATAATATATAAAATATTACCGAATTTCTGACTGACGAGCAAAAGTAGGAGGTAATTTTGTTTTGTTTAGCCGATTCCGGTACGTGGCAT